CCCCCCCCCCCTCTCCTTCCTCTCCTTCCTCACCTTCCTCTCGCTCTTCTTCTTCTTCTTCTTCTTCTTCTTCTTCTTCCTCCTCCTCCTCTCCCTTCTCCTCTCCTGCCTCTCCCTTCTCCTTTTCCTCCTCTGCTCCCTCTTCGTCTCCCTCCTCTCCCTCCTCTCCGTCCTCCTTTTCCTCCTCTGCTCCCTCTTCGTCTCCCTCCTCTCCCTCCTTTCCGTCCTCTGTTATGTGGATTGGTTCCTTCTCATTAGATGATACAAAAATTTGTCGACACTACCCTCTCTGTTCCACCCTGTGTTACTTTTCCTGGTTTTCGTGTTTTTTATTTTTTTCCTGTTCTAATCTTTCGTTGGTCTCTCAGTCTTGTAAAAGAGACAAAATATTGAAAATAAGCTAACCAACTTAACAACTTACCACTGTTAACGGTGTTGTTTGTTGCTTGGGTACAGGCGTATAAGCATGCGCTGGGGATCGGAAAAGCGGGTGGAGTTGAGGCCCTTCTCGATGCGTCACATCCGTATATGTCCGATCCTTGTGTTCTTGCCAGTCTGTGCAGCACCCTGAAAGCTGTTGCCGTCAATGTACGCCAGCCAAAATCTTTTTTTTTTTCTTTTCTTTTTTTTTATTGTGTCTGTCGGGACTTGAATTCAGGATCTGTGATCTGTTCTGTAACGGTGTACGAACCGCATTCTGCATTGGGGCTACCTTGAATACCGGGGATGCTATGATTTGTTGTTGTCAACAACTGAGCGTCTGCTTATACTGTCGCCGCTCTTGCACATTGTCGACCAGAGTGCTATTGTTTGTTGTTGCCAACAACTGAGCGGCTGCGTATATCGTCACCCGTCTTGCGCATTGTCGACCAAAAGTGATTTTCTAATTTTCTATTTTTTGGTAGAAAATAGACTGTTGCCTGGTTTGCTTCCACTGTGTTGCAAAAACCAATTTCTAATTTGCCAATTTTTTATTTTTCTTATTAAGTTATTTACTAGGCTACCAGCCGGGCCGTCCGGGTCCCGGGTGGATAGCCCATGCAAGGACCAGACAAGGTCCAAGCAAAAAAAAAAAAAAAAAAACTCCAAAAAATCCGAAAAAAAAAGTTATGCAGAATAATAAACTGAACAACTTTTGCCTCAGGGTCACATCAAAATTCTTTACCAAATTAAAAATAAAAAATAAAATAATACAATAATTTGCGAGGCCACTGCCTCGATAAGCCCCATAAGGCCCCATTTTTGCAGCCCGTCGGCCGCCCTAAGTGAAGGCAGGCTCGACGAGGCCCTCAGGGCCCTATTCTGGCCGCCACGCAACTCGGGGAAATTCAGGCAGTTGCACAGCGCCAGTTGGTCGAGTGAACCCAGGCCCTGGGCCGCCTGTGTGAATGTATGTGAAGCAGGCCCTGGGCTGGATACGGGTACCGGGCCAAACACAGGCCAAAGGCAGTTGGGCACATGCAACCACCTCAGGCCCAGGGCCTGTCTTCTTTCGTGACTGGGCCTCAGACTACCGGGGCCTACTGGAAGCTTCGTGGGACTGGACGCAGGCAGGCCACTTCGATATAGCAAAGGGCCTGCCTCCTCATTCGGCATTCGGGTGCTGGCTGCATGCTGCGCAAGGGCTGCTGCGCTATTTGCTGGCTGGCGCCTACGCTCTCACGGGCGAGCAGGGAAGGAGCACGCAGCCATAGCCGAGCTGCACTGCTGTAAGCTGGGTGAAGCGCAGGGTGGTCCTTGGGTGCTAGTGGCATCTGTGTGTTGGGGAACGAGGTTGTGAGTGTGGCGAGAGACATACCTGGTGCTGGAAGCGTGCGACATTGGTCGCCATATGCTCGTACTTCGGGAAAGCTGTTGATGTCTTCTTTCGGCATCGTAGTATAGGCTAGATAGGATCTGCCACATGTAGTCTGGGCGCCGAGCGCCAGATAGGATATCAACTCTGGTTCTTCGTTGATGATGATGGGACTATTTCAGCATTGTCAATTATGAACTCTTGGTGTGTTCTTATTTGGTGAATCTCGTGATGCAATTCTGTTGTTGGTTCGAGGTCACGACTATCTGGACTCGTATGTATGATGCTGTTTGATTGCTGAAGTTCGCTATTGCTCATCTTCCTTGCAATTTGGTATCGGAGCGGTGGTACGTTTGCGCTCATCTGGCGCTTGTCTTCTGCCTGGTACAGTACATACATGCGGTCTGCTGGGCGAGTTTGGCCGTAAGTGGTGTGTAGTGAGGAGGGCGGAGGCGAGTGATTGGCGACCCAGGAGGCGAGGGGATCGCCAGGAAGGCTATGTGGGGGTAATGTGGTCTGGAC